GTTTACGCGGCTGTACTGTACACGCGCGGCGTCGGCGTACAGGTAGCACGAGACGTCGCCAACATCGGCAAGTGACGGCATCCCAACGCCGATGTTGACTCCGACGCGCTCCGCCGCACATGGCGTTACAAGCCGTTCAGCTTTCGTGTCTAGCAGCCGCGCCTGCAGCAGCGCTTCTTCCACGGCGTGGTGGGCGAAAAGCGTGGCCCGGGTCTCGCGCGAGGTGGCGGCAAACGTCGGCTCGCCCGGCGCCGCGCAGATGGGCGCAGCAACTTTGCACGGCATGGCGGCCATCAGCAACTCGCGCCGCTGCTGCTTTGCGGCTGCCGTGGCGCCAGGCTGCGCATCGATGTAAGCGGGGGTGAAGAAGGGCACCTCCGCGAGTGCACGGGTGGCGGAACGGCCCTCGCACAGCGCTGACCATGTCGACGCCACGCTGAGACCGTGCGGCGTCACGGCCCCGAGGCCCGTCACCGCAACACGGCGGCGAACATGCGGGGGAAAAGCTCCAAACGGCATGCACCCTCCTCCGCCCACAACAACAACAACGTTTCTCTCTTCTAGTCTACCTTGACGACAATGATATCTCACCTTGCAGAAACAGCGCCGGCAGCAAGAAAGAAACGCACAGAACTGCGCTGATAACTGCACAGAGAACACCAAAAAACAAACCAGAGTATGTACACAAATGTATTCAACGAATTCTCATTCCACCACCCCTCTCTTTATCTCTCTCTCTCTCTCCCCTTCACACTCCAAAGTGAGAGCAGCAAATAAGGACTCACCGCCGCCGCGAGTACACCGCTTGTGTCGTGGCCTGCTGAGCGTACGACCCCTTCGAGACGCTTCGCGACGGCTCAAAGTTGCGCAGCCCCGGCAGCACATGCCCCGACACCATCTGCAGCTGATCCCACAGTCCATCCACGCTCTGCGCCCCATTTTCTTTCGACGACACGGCGCGTGCACGCAGCGTCCGCGACTCCAGCATGCTCCGCTGCACGTTCAAGATGCCCTCCCCCCGCTTGATCGCAGCGGTGATAACCTTCGGGTTCGATAGATGCCTTCGGCGGTGAAACTCGTTGTGCAGACGAAACAGTAGATCGGCGCGCTCCTGCGGCGGGTGCTGGTGGATGAGGCGAAGGAAGTCGCGGTAGAGGTACAGCACGTCACGCGCGCGGTACGGAAAGTGGCGGAACGACGGCACCGGCGTGCCAAGCACCTGCGGATCGTGGCGCCCGCGCAGCCACACCACAAGGCGCAGCATTCCAAACACGCAGCCTTGACGAGAAGAATAGAATTGCCTCTGCCCTCTTTCTTTTTGTGTTGTTCCTGCTTCGCCTAATACATGCGGAATGTGTGAGGGCGTGTGTGAGTATGAGTGCAAAGGACGGAAGGAAGTGAGAGAAGCGGAGCGCGTAGGAGAGAACGCAGGCGTGCTGTGAACTCAGCACCAGACATGTGTGGTGCGTGTGGGCTGATGAGAAACGTCGTCGTGTGAACGAAACAACAGTCGGAGCCAAACGTGGGGGGGAAAAAAAAAGCACCACGACAGCGTCAAGAACAGAACAAGAAGAAAAAAAAAGTGAAACAAACACATCGCAAGATCCCTCTTCGCTTTTTTTCTTTTCCTTTTAAATATGATAAACAAGGGGTGTGACCAGGACACACCCTAGCGATTCGGCACATGTGAATGTGGGTGCATGAGTGTATGTGTGCTTCTTTTTGTGTGTATTTTCTTTTTGTTTGTTTCTTCTCGTCCCTTGTCATTGCTTCTATCTCTATTAGATGAACTGAATCCAGCCGTCGTTACCGGCGTCTTCGTACACGAAGCTATCGCCCTGAAGCCGCGACACAGTGCGCTGCAGATCCGCCATGGAGGCGCTGCTTCCAATCCGCTCATGCACCTCCGCTAGCCGCACGGAGGGGCGCTGTTCTCGCTGCATCACCCGCAGCGCCTCCAGCACCCGCTTCTCCAGAAGGCGGGTTGAGTTCTCCTCGCCCAGCAGCCCCATCGACCGGGCGGCCGCCTCATCAGCCTCCTGTCGTGGCCGCCCGTTGTTTTCGCCGTCGCCACCGTTCACTCCGTCG